TCTAAAATACAACTTGTACTTTCTCTGATAAAGATGATTATTTATTTATTTATTTATTTGATGGTAAGGAACTTTAATACAATTAGTGAACAATACAGAAAAGACAAAGAATATAGTTTCCAAATCAAGCACCCAAAGTTACCCCATCCCCTTGTGGGTAAAAGTCTAGCCAAACAGGATTGGCCCAAAGCAAGCCCCAAAAGCCTGCCACGAGTCTGAAACACCTTCCAATAGGGACCCATAGAAAAGGGTCCGAAACAGACAAGTCTGGGAGAAAAAGAGCAAAATCAAAATCAAGATAAAAGCTGCCATTGTTATCCTTCCCACGGGTCTCTCACTCACATCTGTTTCAACCAGTCCAGGACCAAGAAGTAAGCACAGTTTCTTCACGTCTCTCTGCTCCATGTGCCTCCTCTAGGTCTCCATCCTGCTCCCTTCCTTCCTAAGTCTCCTCTCCAGCTTCTTCTCCTTCCTGCTCAGCTCCACCCTCCTTTGGGTGGGGCAGGGAACCTGAAACCTCTCCTTTTCCTGGGGACCACCCTGTTACAGTTGTAATGGGGACACCCCAGGATTGAAAGATGATTATTTATTTTTATTTATTATTTTTATTTAAAAGACTTATGTCTTTATCTTCCCTCTCAAATGTGAGCTCCTTGAAGTTAGTGATAATATCTGATATTGTTGAATCTTTTTTTTTTTTTTGATATTGTTGAATCTTAATGTCTTGCACCAGTGTCAAATGCATGGTGCTGATTAAAGAATTGTTGAATTGTGAATAGAACAGCATCCTTTCTCTTGGAAACTGCCTTTAGTATTTAATAGGTTGCTTTGTGAGCATTTCTCTGATTTCCGAGTTGCTTCCTGCAGATCACAAATTCAAATGCCTGTCAAGTCCAGTAGTTAGATGAGTGCAGCTGGACTGATCGGGTCTGTGGCACTTACAGGCTCACCAGCTACTTAGTTCCAGTTAAGAAGATGTTTCAGACTGATGTTACCAGATCTCCTGTTTTTTCAATGAATACAGAAAAATCCAGGTTTAATGAGTACTGTCTCGATTGGAATTTTATTTTATTTTTTAAAAAGACTTATTTATTGATGCATACAAGAACTGGGGTACAGGCCAGAGGTGCGGGGGAGGGGAGAGAGAAGGATTCACCAGAGACAGAGTGGGAAACAGAGCACGTAGACTGACCGAAATACACTGCTGAGGGGAGCTGTGGGCAAGTCAGGAGAAGTCTGCTGCGCCATGTGGGCAGCTCCTTGGCCAGCTGGGGATTGGACTCATGCTGCAGCGGCTGCCAATAGCTTCATGGGTTGCGTCTTAACCCCTTGTGCCACTAAAGAGTCCCCTCAATTGGAATTTTAAAAAATTTGTAGACTAAGAAAATGCTTCCTCAAGCTTGATATGGTTCATGGCCACCAGACTGAGACCTAGAGATCATTAGATGAGTAGGAGGAGCACCACCGAGGAGTACCACTGTTTCCGCACCTGTGCACGGTTTCCCGATGATGTCTTGTCCCCAGAGGGCCTCCAGTGCCTTCTTCGCAAGCTGAGGCCAGTGTGTGGATGGAGATTTAGCACCAACCTGCCAGAATGTTTTGGCAGGGTTTTAATGAAATCAGGACTCCCTCTGTTAGGTAGAAATAAAAGAAAGATGTGTTAAATATAAGTGATAGTAAGAATCAAATGTGAGTAGACTAAAAACTGGATACTATGCATCAGCCATGTACCTTTTCTTTTATTACTTAATTTATTTTTTTTCAATAACCCTAAGGACATGTCATCATTCTCAATTGCAGATGTGGAATCTCTATGAGATTCAGATTTTTAAAAATTCCCACATTGCAACTGATTAATTCTAGAATTAAGACCTTTTGATTCTGCCTGTGAAGAAAGCCCATGTATGAGGATCTTAAAAATTAGTTAAACTGGTTTTATGAAATTAGAAAAATTGAAATTTTCCAGAAATTGATATTAGAATTTTTGCTTTTCATGGTTGTTTTGTTTGTTTGTTTATAGCTTTATTTATTCATTCTTTTTACATTTGTTGAATACCATTATGTCTGTGTTAGGTACTGTAAAAATGAGATTATAAAAATGAGTACTATACAGCTTCTATGCTTTAGAATTCCTAAATGATTGTTCACTTCAGGCTTGTTCTAATTGTGGAAGGAGAGGGGACAGGGATTGGAAGAAAAGAACTTCAGTTGCCAAATCAATTTTTTAATTGTAACTTTTTTCTTACTCCAACAAAAAAAAACAGAAATAGAAAAAGCTAGAAAGTGGAAACAAGGGTAATTAAGGAAAAAAATCTTCTAATAAGCATCAGCAACTACTATGTACTTACCCACCTTTTTGATTACCATCTATATGGATGTTTTTTGCACTTACCACATGTATATGCAGACAACTACATACTAATCATACTGCATTACTGTTCTGTGGCCTGCTTCACTTGGGAATATTTTGAAATGTTCTATTAATGCTTGAAAATCACTTTAATAACATTTTATCACATGAAAAGAGTTCCATATAGATAATCAATTCTCTGTTATTAGATAATTAGGTCATTTCTATTTGTTTTATAGCCCATGTCATGTAGAGATTTTTTTTTGTAGCTAATGTTTATGGATCCACTATTATTTCCTTTGGAAAAATCACTAGAAATATAATTAATTCTGGGTTTAAGCATTTATACATTTTTTAGTTTTTTGCTTATACCATACAGTGCTCAATTGTTCTCCAAAAAAGCAAGGACTAATTTACCCATCTCCAGTGAATCTGTGTTTCTATTTCTCTTCACTGCTTCTAAGGCAGTTACCACCTCTTTAAAAAAAAACAAAATCATTTCCAATTTGATAGAAGAAAGACTTCCTGAAAACTCTTTTGACCTTTGAATCTGCTGGATATTATTGTTTCACGGCACATTACTATTACTTTATGTCAGCTGATTTTCTGATTACCTGTCTTAGTAGCTTTAGAGCAATTGAGGGTCAAGCATGTCTTACCCACTTAGGTATTTCTGGATGCTCATGAATGTGTGTTGAACTCCATGGAAGTGGAGCACATACCTAGTTTAGAAATATTGTTAAATGTAGAAGTGTCAACACAACCAGTGGACAAGTTATTTTATTCTGCTAGTTACATAATAATAAGTAATTGTCATTGAGTGTTAATTATATGCCAGCATTGTGTTAAGTGCTTTGCATACTTACCTGATTGAATTCTTACAACAATGCTTTGAAGAAGTGATTATAGGTATTTCCACTTTGCCAATGAGGAAACAAAGAGGTTAGGAAACTTGCCCAAGGTAAGTTGGCAACTTGCCCAAGGTTAGGTGGCAAAAACACTGATGAACACAAGACCGGCTCCTTTCCAAGTCTTCTTACCATGCCCTGTGTGTCTTCCCCTCTCCTCTCAAACTTTTTATTATACACATTGACAAATATAAATAAAAGTAGAGAGAACAGAATAATGAACCTTGGAACACCTACCATCCAGCTTCAACAGTCACCAAGGTGTGGCCAATCCTGTTTCATCCTTACCTTTTCCTCACTACCTTGCGTCTCTCTTCCCTTGATGGATTATCTTAAAGCAAATCTCAGATATAGTAATTCATTACTAAATATTTAAATATATCTCTAAGAGTAATGAACTCTGTATTTTTTTTAAATCTAGATTACAATATCATCCTCACACTTTAAAATCTCTGTAAAAGTTCATTAATACTATCTAATGCCCTGTCAGTGTCAAATTTCTCTGATCATCTCAGAGTTGATTTGTTTGAATCAGGATTCATGCAGACACTATGCATTCTAAAGTGTTCCAACCACAAAACATGTTCCTCTCTCCCCCATACCTCTCCATAAAGTCCATTCTTCTCAGAAACAGAGATACATAGCTGGAGCAACCTGAGATTGTTTAAAAACAATTGACATTTATTTAATATCTGGGTTGACCTTTCCCCAGAAGGAAACACATTCAATAATTAACACTTGAGAAACATTGGGTCTGTATGGAAGGAAGAAAGTATTTTGTCATGTGGCTTGTTATCCATTCTCCTTGGAAATCCATTAGTGTACTCATCCTGTAGCTGAGAACTCTCTATCACCTTCTATGTCCTGGTGGGGACACATAACAAAGGGACAGAAATGTCCAGACAAGTCTGGAAGGAAAAGAGCAAAATCAAAATCAATGTAAAGGCTGCTGGGGCCTCCCTGGTGGCGCAGGCAGTTGAGCAAAGCACTGTGAAGCTGTCCACAGCCTCTGCAGTGCGGGTTCGATCCTGGCTGGCTGCGGAGATCTCCACATGGCAGGGCAGTCCTCTCATGTCTCTCCCACTGCTCCCCTCAGCAGTGTATTTCAGTCCTTCTGCCTGTTCTGTTCCCCACTCTGTCTCTGGTGAATCTTCTCACCTTCCCAAGCATCAGGCCTACACCCTGGTTCTTGTATAAATAAAATAAAATCTAAAAAAAAAAAAAGATAAAGGCTGCCATTGTCAACCACCCCATGGGTCTCTAACCCTCATCTATTTCAAGTGTCTCCTTCCATGTCTTCCCTCAGTTCCCTGGTGCCAGTCGAAGGCTGAGCAAGTGCAGCCTCTTCACATCTCTCTGCTCCATGTGACCCTGCAGGTCTCCTTCTTGCTTGCCCTCTGAGTCCCAGTCTTCTCTCCTCTTCTCCTCCCTGCTCAGCAACACCCTTCCATGAGAGCAGCAGGGAAGCTGGAACCTCCCCTTTCTTTGGGGACCACCCTGTTTATCCTCACTTACGATGTGTTTAGTTAGATGTAAGTGATACTGACGAAAATTCTGTTTTTGGTACTGAGCTTAAAAATGAGATATGCTGGCCTGTGTTCCCCTCCTTTGTTGTGGGAAAGTGACTCAGAAATGGAAGTTATGGGCTTGTGATTTTCATAAGTGGATCATGACTGATAGAATATTACACTCTGAGCAAAATTTTAAGTTTTCCTTTGTTTTGGTTATTTTTGAACTTGAAGGTCTAGTGATCCTCCACTGTGTGGTGGCGGATGGAAATTCTACCAGAAGTCCTGAAAGTGATGGCCTGCTCTGTGGAGACTCTGGAGAAAACTGTGCAGGTAATGTTTAGTAAGTGATACATTTGTACTTTACCAGTTTCATGTTCTGTCTCCGGAAGTTGATCTCCCTAAGTTTTAATATTTTTGAAAATGCAGTAATCACAAAGCAAGGTGTATCAGACACTGTGCTAAGTAACCACTAACTTATTGTTAACTATGAACTGGATAATATTTTTTACTTTATTTCAAGGTGAAGCCTAGAAAGATTAAGTAAATTGCCAAAGATCACATATCTAGCAAATAGCAAATTGGGATTCATGCTCACACCTTTCTGATTCTAGTGTTTCCATTCCTAATCACCATACTATTTGGGGTGTTCAAGATGTGTGTGTTGGACTCTTGCATGTGATATCTTAGACTAGATTCACAGAAAGTTGGCAAATTCTATTCAATTTAAAAGGGAAGAAGGTAATGATGTTTAACGTATTTTATTTTGGAGATACTTAGATTAGTATCCTCAGACTGATTAGTCTCAGGCAGAGGTTAGCTATAGCAAAGGGTCAGATAACAAGTATTTAGACTTAGTGGCCCTTGAAACCTTTGTTGCAACTACTCACCACAGTTGCTGGATTGTCAAAGCAGCTATAGACAAATGCAAAAGAATGGCCTTGTAAATGGGTGTCTGGGGCCCAAATTTCTAATGTGTGTATGGGGGGGGGTGTCCTTCCACTCCACCAAACAATTCTCCAGACACTAGCTAGGTATACCACAATTTAGCTGAAGGCTGACAGAACCCAGAGATAGCATCAGATTCCACTTCTGCTATTCGTGAAATAAGTTCAGTGTTCATTTTCATAACTCTCTCTGACCACTCACTGATTCAGGCACCAATTGCAAGCTTCTGACTGGCTGTAAATCAGAGGGTCCCATAACACCTCCTCAGGTTCAATTCTCTTGAGTGGCTCATAGAACTCAGAGGAACATTTTACTTACTAGATTATTAGTTTATTACTGTTCTAGATGGAACAGTTGCACAGGGCAAAGTATGGGAAAAGGGCAGGGGCCGCCATGTGCTCCTGTACACCACTCTCCCTGACTCTCCACATGTTCACCAACACAGAAGTTCTTGTTAGTGGGCAGAATGGGGAGCACCCCAGGACCCCAAAACTGCACATTCTACATGGTTTCTGCCATCCGCTGCAATACAAACAAAACATAACCTTAGTGCTTAATATCTTCAATAGAAAAGAATTTTAATACAATTAGTGTGCAATAAAGAGAAGAGAGAGAATAGAGTTAAAATAGCTTCCAATTAAAAACCCAAAGTTACCCATCTCTTCATGAGTAAATGCCCAGCCAAACAGGGTTGGCCCAAATTGGGGCTGCTGATGCCTGAAAGCTTGCCACAGTCTAAAGCATCTTCTGGTGAGAACCCATAGGAAAGGAATGGAAGGAGCCAGGCAAGTCTGGAAGGAAAAGAGTAAAATTAAGGAACAAGTTAAGATAAAGTCTGCCATTATCAGCCTTCCCATGGTCTCTCACCCAAGTCAATGTCTCTTCCATGTACCTCAAGTTCCTGGTATAAATCCAAGGCTGGGAAGCAAGTGTGGCTTCTTTACATATCTCTCTGCTCCATGTGCTTCCTCCTGGTCTTCTTCCAAAGTCCTTTTTAGCTTCCATTTACTGCTCAGCTCCACCCTTCCTTAGGTATTGCAGGGAACCTGGACCCTCCCCTTTCTGTGGATATTACACTGTTACACTTTCTGAACCCTATCCTTTTTGGTTTTCATGGAGGTTTGAAAAAGTCACAATTGATTAAATCATTGACTTGGCAACTGTCAACCTCCAGGCCCTCTCTCCTCCCACGAGGTCTGGGAGTGGAACTAAAATTCCATACTTTCAGTCACAGGGTTGGTTCCCCTGGCAACCAACCCCCATCCTAAGGCATATCCAAAAGCCACTTCATTAACATAACAGAAGACATCTTTGCCATACTTATCTCCTGGGAAATTGCAAGGGTTTCAGGAGCTCTCTACCACAAATGAGGACAAAGACCGAATATATATATGTATTTCCATTAAAAGTCACAATATCCTGCTTTAGATGTGTTTCAGTAAAACTAGAGGTCCTCCCCTGGTGGTGCAGGCGGTTGAGTGCAGTGCTGTGAAGCTGTCCAGAGCCTCTGCAGCGCCCCTTTCGATCCCAGCCGGGCTGCGGGTGAGAATCCCACATGGCGCAGCAGACCTCTCCTGTCTCGCCCACTGCTCCCCTCAGCAGTGTATCCTGTTCTGTTCCCGCTCTGTCTCTAGTGAACACTCTCACCCTGCCCTGCATCTGGACTGTACCCCTTTCTTGTATAAATAAATAAATAAATCTTAAAATATATATATATATGTCTTTAAAAAAAAATAAATAAAACTAGAGAAAAACACTGGGCCAAATTTAAGCCTTTGGCTATTGTTTGCTGATACCTGGCCTAAGGTTTGATTTGTTTTTTATAGATTGTATGGTCTGCTCTTCTAAGGGGATTGTTTCTGACTTTAAAACAAACTGTTATAGAGCAACCCCGATATTAAACGGGTTCCTGGCTGTGGGTCCTCACCTGCGCGATTTAAAGGGACTTATGAATACTCTACTACAGACACACGCAAAGGGGTTAATAAAAGGTTTCTTTACAAGAGAAAAAGAAATAAGGAAAATGTACAACTCAGGGAGAAAATAGGGAAATAAAGTCTTTAATGCGTCCTACCCGATCCGACGACCTGGAAACCCAAAGTCACTCTCAGAGCTAGACGGACGCCGCGAGCTGGCCGAGGGCCCCAAAATGGAGAGAGCCCCAAAGCCCACATGTCTGCCTTTTGTATCCACCTGGCTGCTTAACCCCACCCTCAGGTCCCAGCCACCTTCCCTTTGGTGGTGATGGGATTTGGAGTTCCCAGTGTCTTTGGCTTTGGCCTGGGGTGGGGGTGGAGTCCACAAAGCCTGTATGGAATTTGCTTTGGGGCAGCCTTTTCCCCTAACAAAACCACATGCCTGGGGCCTCCCTGGTAACGCAGGTGGTTGAGCACAGCACTGTGAAGCTGTCCTCAGCCTCTGCAGTGCGGGTTCGATCTCCACCGGCCGTTGAGAATCCCACATGGCGAGCAGACCTCTCCTGTCTGCCCCGCTGCTCCCCTCAGCAGTGTATTTCGTCAGTCTGCCTGTTGTCTCTGGTGAATCCTCTCACCCTCCCGCGCATCTGGCCTGTACCCTGGTTCTTGTATAAAAATAAATAAATCTTTAAAAAAAACAAAAACAAAAAAACAACAAACCACATGCCAGTTCACAAATAAAATGGAGTAACAAAAAGCTCTTGCCCTCCCTGCCTCCCCCCCTCCCCACTAATCCCTGGAGACTTCTTTAAACTTGGGGTGTGTGACTTGGTATTAAATGCTTCTTTCCTAGCACCCCGGAGATATAACTGAGCCAAGAACATGCCAAGCAAATGGTCTTGAAGTGAATCATTGGTTCCAATCCAATCTTTCTCGTTCTTCCCTCACATGAGGGGGTGGTCTGAAAGGTCCCTGAAGGCTGTGGTATTCATTGGTGTCTTAGGTCATTCTTGCCTGGATCTTGTCATCCTTGTTGGGGAAAGAACACTCCAATTTCTTGTTTTTCTTTTTTTTTTTTTTTTTTTCAGTCTGCTTTCAAATATCTTAAATAATGGCACTTTTCACATTTCCTTTGGGAGTTTATTATATAAACCAATGATTACAGTATTAAAAAATCTCATCACTATGTAAATGTATTTTCTAATATTTTGTAGTAAAAAAATCTAACATGAGATCTATCCTTTTAACAGAAATTGTCAGTGTACAGTACAGTATTGTTTAGTATAGGTGTGATGTACATCAGATCTCCATCTTGCTCAAATGAAACAACTCATTTCCCCTCTGCTCACCCCCTGGCAACCATCATTATACACTCTGCTATTTAGATACCTGGATATGGCTATTTAGATACTTCAAATAAGTAGAATCGTGTCATAGTCGTCCTTCTACAACTTGTGTTGTAGAAGATTAATTTGCTTAGTATAATGTCCTCTACATTTGCCTATGTTATTGCATATCACCTTTTTTTAAAGACTGAATAATAGTCTATTGTTTGTATATACTACTTTTCGTTATTCATTAATTTCTCTGATAGATATTTACGTTGTTTCCATCTCTTGGCTATTATGGATAATGAAGCAGTGAACATGTAACTATCTCTTGAGATCTTGCTTTCAATTCTTTTGGATAAATACCTGAAAATGGATTTGTTGGATCATAATCATAGTTCTATTTTTAATGTTTTTGAAGAGTCTCCATAGTATTTTCTGTAGCAATTGCAACACGTGGGTAACTCTCTGGCTGGGGATCGAACTCGTGCTGCAGTGACTGTGGATAACTTCATAGGTTGCATCTTAACTCCTTGTGCCACCAGGAGGCCCTGATGATTAGTGATTTTATGTATCTTTCCATGCTGAAGGATGCCAGGTCCCAGCAGTACTCTAAGACAAGTAAGACAGAAACTTGTTCTTTGGGCAGCCTCCCAAATTGGGGTCTTAAACATGTGATCCTTCCCTTTCCTTCTCTAGGGAGGTACTGGGAACTGGTGTTTGCCTGTTCTATTTTTTTCCGAAATTGGGAAGGAGGGGTAGGGGATCAAACCCGAAACCAGAGACTGATTTTGCAGGTCCCAATGTGGCTAGTTTGTGCCAGGCCTGTCAGCATCCAAGACAGAAGTCAGTCTTTGGTGCATCCCTGGGAAATTCGGAACTTTGTGCAGGCAGCCCACTCTTCCCCTCCCCAGTGAGAAGCTGGGAACTGGGGAGCTTCTTCTAATTACGTGGTGCTATGCTGGGAACAGGGTGTCTTGAATTTCCTTGCTAGCTTCAATGTGGCTGGTTTCATGTCACTCAAGGCATGAAAACCTCTCAATTAGTTTCCGAATTTCTCACAAAAGAATATTTTCATGTTTTGTTGTTGAATCAGTGTGTTTAGGGAGTGGGAGCGGAATAGATTCCAGGCCTTCCTATT